GTTCTCTGGGGAGCTGACTCTGAAAGAGAGATCAGCATGCAGGAAATGTATTAGAAAGTGCTCTTTGGGTTAACACTTGTGGGAAGCGGGAAAGATGCAAGGTTTTAAAAGTCAGAGGTTGATTTTGTTTGTTTTTTTTTTAAGGATTATTTTATTTGGGACCAGCAGTTAGCATAATGGCTATGTCGCTGGACTCCCATGTAGTCAACCGTGGTTCCAGTCCTGGACCCAGTGGCTTAAATTCATGCCAGGTGTGTGTGCATGTGTGCCCAAGATCCCAAGAGGAGAATAGAGGAGAAGGGATTGAGGCGTGGCCATCCCCCCTGGGGGTTGAGTTCTTGCTTTCTGTCTCTCTGTTTCTCTTTCTGGCGAGCGCACGTGCCCTATAACAAAAACCTCTCAAAAAAAAAAAAGAATTATTTTATTTAATTTTATTCATTGTCATTATTTGACTAGAGAGAGACAGAGAGAGAAAAGAATGTGAGAAAACAAGCTGCCAGGTCCAGGACTTGAACCACAGTTGTCAGCCATGTGGGAGTCCAGCTGCCTTAACCATCGTACCACCTGCTATCCCAGAAAAAAGGTTTTATCCTAACCCCCAGGGGGGTTTGAAGCTACAGGGACCCTTCAGAGTTGGCCAAAATTAGAACAAGGGTTCAGGGTTTTTAAATCCCCAAAACTGACTAATCCTTGGAATTGAGTTCCTCCTGGAAGTGGAGTAAAATTGGGTGAGGCAACTTTGGTCCCCTTAGGCAATTTAGGGTAGGTTCATCAGCCAACAACATTCCCAACAACTGAAGGGGGAATACTCTAGGTAAAACAGGACAGCATTCACTACAAAAACATTATTCTAGTCACTGGAAATATGTATATATGAGGGTGGCAGAAAACAAACAAACATTTTTAAAAATCCATTGCCTTTTAATTTCTACTAACTCAATTGATTGACTATATTATAAATTCTTTTTCTTTGTTAAATATTCCAAAACTGTCAGGAAGGGGGACTTATATTACAGTTGAATATTAACCCTCAGTAAAAAGTAAATCTCAGTGACTGAACTCAATATAGGAGACTTGAGTCCACAATCATTTAAAGGACTTGGGTTACAGAAGAGTTTTTTGAGATTTATTTAACTTCATCTATTATTAATATTTTTAACTTGACCAGAGACAGAGACAGAGAGAAAAAGAGGGAAAGTGATAAAGCAAGCTACCAGGTCCAAGACTTGAATTATAGTTGGCCATGTGGGAGCCCAGCACCTTAACCACCATGCCACCTGCCAGCCTGGGTTACAGAGTTTCTAATATCTAACCATCACCTCACCAATAGCTTCCAGATTTGCACGTAGTAGGGGAAAACAAAGTGAGACAGATCTTATACCCACTTGCAAATTTCACTGACTAGTGTTACATGACCCCAACCTAACTACAGAAGAGACTAGAAGACGTACATAAGCTCATGGAACACTGGCGAACATCACTGCTTCATGAAAGACATATCATTTAAAGTACAGTAAAATGCTCACTAGTAGGTTGTTCTCTAACATGTCTATATACTTTCCTCCAAGTTATATGCCTACTAAGATTCTTCCCATTTAAAAAATATTTTTAAAGATGTATTGGTTATTTTAAGTAAATTATCAGAGATTACTTAATAAAATTTAGGTGCAAAAACAATGTTTCTATGAAATTCACTGGAAGGAAATGACAAAATCATTGACCTTCTCATTAAGAAATCTTAACAGCATGGTATTGATGTGACAATGCTGAAGTATAAGAATGTCCTGGACATAGTCCACCACTCACCCCTATAACAGGCTTTATGTTATCTCATTGTCTCCCTATACTGAGTCTGGTTCAATCCTGTTTTCTAACAAAAAGTACTGAGATTGAATAGGCTTACAACTTGGAGAAAAGTGTATGGGTATGGAACAGAACAACCTACTAGTGAGCATTTGACCCTGCCATAAACGGTATCAGTTAATATGGCTTTCAGAGACAGTGGTGCTCATCAATATTCCATAAACTTCTGTACATCTCCCAGCCTCCCTGCTATTGGTGGTCAAGTAGCTAGTACCAGTCAATGGAACTTACAAATAGGTATAATGTTTGTCTGTTTTTTATCTTCACCTGCTATTCACAAAACTGGAACCACCTTTTATCTTTGCAGGGTTGAAAGCAAAGTTCTATATAGAGAGACTAGAACTCCTTAGAGAACCTAGCATAAATTCCCATTTCCCCAGTAATGTCATGCCTTCTTTTTTTAGAGGTTTTCGCAATAGGGCGCGTGCGCTCACCAGACAGACAAAGAGAGACATAGAGACAGAAAGCGAGAAATCACCCCCCAGGAGGGATGGTTACGCCGCAATCCCTTCTCCTCCATTCTCCTCTTGGGATCTTGGGCACACACGCACACACGCCCGGTGTGAGTTCTAAGCCACCGGGTCCAGGAAGCAAACCGCAGTCGACTACGTGGGAGTCCAGCGACATAGCCATTACGCTAACTGCTGGTTCCCAATGTCATTCCTTCTTGACGCCTATGGTGAATGATAATGCCTATCCTAAGGAAAATGACAAACTAGCACAAAACCTCTCTGACTCTACTCAGCCTCTTGCTCTATACATATCTAGGCTATGAGTTTGGAGAGCAGAATCTTGAGTATTTGTATCTTTCTCCATACCCAAAATGTCCCTCTCTGGTTATCTGAACTAGAGTCTGGAGGACAAATGAAGGTATGGTCTGAAAAGTTCTACACTCTGACCTCGTCCAGCAAAGAAAAGGATCTTCCATTGGCCCTCAGTCCAGTGAGTGGATGAAGGAAAAGGGAGTGAGGATATGCCTACTTTTCAGAAGCTTGACCTGCTATAAACTCAGAGACAAGCTCCCAACCACATCTTCATATGAAAACATAGAGACTGAGATGTAGACCAACTTTCAAGGCTGGGTCCATGTCAAAAAGCCAAGTAAGTACTGTGACTTCCCTTATACCTGGAAGAGAATATCATCAGAATTCAACAAGTCAATACATCCACAGACAAAAGAACAATCTATGACGTAAGAATTCCATGAGGTAACTGTTTAAGATAGAAGGAATGGGTGGGTATGAATCCCTCCAATGAGGGGTCCTAGAACCAGAGGGAGCTCTGCCATTTGTCTTGTGGGGTCCACAAGAAACAAATTCCTCCTTACTTCACTGTAAGGCTGGAGGTTATGGTGCTCCACCAGGCAGATGTGGATATCTGGGAATCATTCACAGCATCACCAAGTGTGGGATGTCCAGTCCCTGTTTATTTTTCTTTTTTTGTTTGTTTTTTGTTTGTTTCGTTTTTGTGCCAGAGGGAGCATGCACTCACCAGAGAAAGACAGAGAGAGGCAGAAAGAACCTCCCAGTGGAGTGTGATCATGCCCCAATCCCTTTTTTTCCATCTAACCACCCTGTCAGGATTTGGAGTATACACATGAGTCCAGTATGGTATAAAGGCATATAACTTGGCGAAAAGGATATCGGTGTGGAACAGATTTGACTCAGCCTTCGGGCAATAGGGCCAGGATTCAAACCACATGGTTGGCCACGTAGGATCTGGCACCCTTAGCCATTGGGTAACAGGCCCAGCCCCAGTCCCCATTTCTAACAAGGGAAATGGACAGAATCCCACGTGTCTGCTTTCATGTACAAAATGATGTTTTTGAGTGGTGTACATGTGATTTTGGGGAGGCTAGCAGGTAGTACAGTGGTTAAGGGTGCTGGACTCCCACATGGCAACTGCAGTTAAGGTCCCAGGCCAAGTTGCTTGCTTTTTCACTTTCTCTGTCTCTTCCTCTCTCTCTCTGTCTGTCTGTCTCTCTCTCCCTCTCTCTGCCCCTCTCTGGTCAAATTAGTAAATAAATTAAAAAGTTAAATAAATTTTTAAATTTTTTTGTTTGTTTACTTATATTGAAACAAACTTTTCTCCCTTCCTGATCCCTCTGGAATTGGAAAATATTTATGAGTATACTTTTTTTGTGGCAGAAAGGTTATTTGCAAAAGTTCAGTAATATGTGTTGCCTTGAATCAGAAATAGTAAATACTCGTTATTGACAGTGCTTTGACTGGAATGTCATATCTGAAACTATAACCAGAAAACTATGGAACTAAAATGGATCTCAAGAAAGCCAACAGATGCTCTTGGAAAGATTGTCTGGCACCATAAACAGTCCTGCCTGGCAGAGAGGATTAGAGAAGCTATATGAAATAATTCATAGCATAAAATAAATTGGACTTTACCAGCCCAACCTTGTAGTCCATAGAGATTGCAAAAGAGCAGGTATGAAGTAACAAAGAGACTGATCTCTGCTAGCAGGTGGTACACCACAGAATAATTGGTAGGCAGGACTGAGTTGGGAAAGTTCATGTGTGAATGTGTGTTAGGTGTTTGCTTCTCAACAGTTCGAGTAGTTGACATGTAAATATTTCCTCAAAAATATTTAAAACCATACTGTCTCTGTTGTTAGAGTCACAAAATTATACCAAATATTTTGAAAGTTATCTTTAAAATTCAATTCTATTGAAATTTTGAAAATTGTTTATTAATTGTCAACTATGGAGTATGAGCAAAAAGAATTTGATATGTAAAGTAAATGTGGGAAAGTATAAAAATGAAGAAATTTTTAAATAAATAATTTAAAATATTAGGAAGGAGTCAGAGAAATCTAATGGCTGTAAAAGTTTACAGAAAGTCCCTTTTTTTTGGTTTTTACAAGTTAGAATCGGCTGTCTATTTTCTTAAGAATACACTGTACACAGTAGGTACAATTTCTTCCTCAAACATTAAGAAAAATTCACCAATGTAGTCTTTCAAGACAGAGTCATCTTTGTGGTTTTTTAAATTTATTTAATTAAAATAATTACCTGGGGGAAAAAAAAGAAGAACAAATTAAGCCCAAAATTAGTCATGAGAAAAAGAAATTGCAATATTAAAATGGATAAACAATAGAGAAAGTCAGTAAAATCAAATGCTGGTTCTTTGAAAAGCTCAATACATTGATAAATCTTTAGCTAAACGAATCAAGGGAAACAGAAAAAACTTAAGTCACCATTATGAGGAATGAAAGTGACTAACTATATCACAACGGATCATACAGATAATTTTAAAAAGCTCACATGAGAATACGATGAAACACTATGAAAACATTGGTAAATAAAAATGACAACGAACTTGACAGTCTACATTGTTAAATTTAAATTCAATTTGGCCTTAAAACTGCCTCTATATCTTGAGTCCCTACATAGCAAACTGCAACTTCACTTAGTATGTGAACAAACTGCAACCTAACTTTAGCATAGATTCTTGTAACAAATAGCTGAGTTTCAATAAATCATACCAGCCAAACTTCAACCAATCACATGTTGCCAACTGCTCCAACCATGTCCACACAGGCAATGTCTCATCACATATTCCTAAGTAAGATGAGCCCTGAGTTGTTCCTGTATGTCACTTCCTGTTTTCATCTGTAAATACTGCCTGCCTGTATTGCTGAGTAGAGCTCTTCTGAAGACTGATTCATGAATTTTTCTGTGCTCAAATAAACTATGCTATATTTTAAAATAAAGAAAGAACAACAAAAGAAGTTCTATAATTTGGAACCAAGTATAGTACTTTTGTTTCTAGTTATATTATCTCAAAAATAAAAATTGAGTGCAGAGTAGAGTGGTGCACACCTGTAATCCCAGCTACTGAGGAGGCCGAGTCATGAGAATCACTAGATCAAGGCCAGCCTAGAAAACATAGTGAGATCCTACGTCTAAAAAAATTAATTTAAAAAATGATAGTAATTAGCCTCAATCAGTATGACTTTTCAGGATACACTGACATCTGAAACATCAGTTTGATTCTCTGCAACACCGGGAGATATTATATCTGTCCCAGGTAACTCTACTATGCTTTCTTACACAATACTTAACAGACTGGAAGAGAGTCTGGAACACCTAAAGCCATTACATTGACATCAATACTTAAAGAACCGTGAAGGCTGTGACAACTGAATTGATTTTCTATCTCCTCGGCCCACCCTTACTTGGTACTGCATGATGCTTCTAGTCTCCTTTCAAGGAACAAATCCTCCTTCTGGCTAGTTTCCCTGGGTCACCTCAAAATATGTTCTCTTCACCAACAGTAGTTTTATGTCTCTAATTGAAGAGGCTAAGGGTATAGATAATTCATAATCATGTTTAATTGTAAAAGATGATCTACAGGTAAATGGGTTTAATGTCCTCTTGAGCAGTCTGTGGAGGGGGAACAGAAACAGAGAAGCCCCAAGTCAGTGCAGAAAGCAGAGTCAAGTCATATCCTGGGGGCAGGAGTCACAGGAGGTAATCTGGTGGCTATATCAGAGCCAGTTGTAGGACTCAGGGTGACTCATATGGCTGGGAAGGACAGGTAGGCATCACAGAAGAGCAATAACCAATCCCAGGAGTCAGTGCAGGAGCCCTGTAGAAGAAAGGGAGGAGTGATCAGCACATGGCCCAAGGGACATACCCTCTCCCTGCTCCTGAGGGGTCCCCTCTAGCATCCAACAGAAAGCAGAGGTTCAAGACATATTACCATCTTCTTTCCCAATATCTATGTAAATGTGAAATCGGCTAAAGGGGACATGAAACTTCAGCTTGATGCAGATGTGTGGGAGGTGGAAGATCAACTGTTACCCTTCCAGGAGATAATAAAATTTAAATCTTTTAGTCAACTGTATAACCACTTTCTTCACACCACCAGCAGCCTCTTTCAGTCACTTATAAATGCCTGCAGGATACAGCCACTAAAATGTGGTACAAAGTGGGCATACCTCAGCATCCAAAGCACAAGGTGGAGCTTTGGCTCGAGGCTTCACAGAAAGATATCACCAAAGTTATGGCCTGGTTCTGGGGAACAACCTCTGGAGCTTCTTACTGAAACTGGACAGACTTCTCCCCTAGCTCTGATCCCCACAGAAGAGAACAGGTATAAACCAACATTGTGCCCAAGTACACTTGCCTCATGCCCTTCCCTCTCACACCTGTCTCCCTGTCCCCTATAGATCAAAGTAGAAATATTACCTGCTGGTGGAGGCCCATGAGCTCCTACAAAAGAAAGTTACATAGAGAAAGGTCTCAGTGTACAAACAGCCACTTTCTCACTTACCCCAAAGGGACATGAGATTGCAATTTAATTGAAGGATTATATTCTCTTCTGACCCATGCTCCACAATGTCTAACTGCCCTAAGCCCACAAAAGAAGTGAAAGTGTCACTAGAAGAAAAGGAAGCTAATGCTCTGAACGTCTTCATGGAAAAAGCTTTTGGAAAGGAGCCAATGAGACAAAGATGAAGGCAAGGAAGTCCTGGAATAAACTCTACCAGTTAAATCTGAGGTACAACTACCTTTTAATCAGTAAAACCAGATTCTAGTTTCCCCCCTGGGTTGTCCATCTCCTCACACCACTGGCCCAGCCTCATTACCTCAGGGTCAGGAGGAAAGAGCTGCCCCTAGAGCAGAGACTCCTTGAACAGAGGATCTCAGGCTCAGCCGTCTTCCCCACGTCCCCCCAGAGCTCCTCACCTTTCTGACTTCTGCGACGAATGATAATCCCCAGCCCGAGGAAGATCAGCCCCAGCACAAGGCCCCCGACACCACTCAGCATCTTGCTCTGGGCAGATTCAGACTGAGCCCCTGTGAAACAGAGCCTGGGAGTCAGCATTTGTCCCCACACCCTACGGTGCCCCTGGCTGAGGACCTGAAGTGCAGTGGGAGGGACAGAAGGTGGAGGTGCCAGGGGAATCTACAATATTACTCTATTCTGACCACCCCTGAGGGAGGGAAGGATCAGCCAATAGCTCTCTGGACACAACGTGTGGGTAAGGGATACTGTGCTCCTCAAGAACACATCTATCAACATAACCTTGGGCCTTAAGACTCAGTCTCTAGGCATACTAGCCAGCCCTTCAGGATATGAGGATGGGTTCCAGGGCCATCGTATGTAGAGTGACCTCCTCAGTGTCTGGAATGACATGAGATCAGCGATCTTCTGGTGCCCTTGCCGTATGGTAAGAGGTATTCTTGTCTCCAGTGATTCCCAGCTCAGCAGCAACATCAGGAATAAGGATGGGTCAGGCTAGGCCAGAGGAAGCTTTGCCCTGCCGTGTGGGGCCCACGGTAAAGGAAACAAACTTCCTCTTACGCCACTCCACTGTGATGGGGCTCTGGAGGCTGGGGTGCTCCACTTGGCAGGTGTAGACGTCTCCACGCTGGGGGGCCATTTCCAGCATCACCATAATCTGGAAGGTCCAATCCCCATTCCTAATAAGGGGGGTGGACACAATGCCAGCTGTCTCCTCCTGGTTATTCCGAAACCAGCGGACTTTGATCTGGCCTGGATAGAAATCCGTCACCGAGCAGACCAGCAGGTTGTGGTGGTTTAGTGCCTCTGTCCTGGATGGGGAGATGGTCACTGTGGGTTTCTCTGAGGGAAGTAATAGACAGGAAAAGACAGAATGAGATGTGAAGCCACAAAGAAGCTCTCCCATGAGGAAGAATCCCCCTACTGGAGTGGAAAGATCCCTGAACTCCAAGTCTTAGATGAGACTCCGAGCTCCACCACTCATTAGCTCAATGACACATGCCAGTCAATTTAGTTTTCAAAGTCTCAAAGGATAGTAGGGTCATCAGAAAAGTCCTAACGCATTTTTGCATAGGAAAACATAGAAAATATATCATGACTTTTTTGACAACCCAATGTAATCATTCTGTGGAAGTGCATATTGACAAAATTGAAGCACTTTAAAATTATAAATCAATATATTACATAGGCCAGGGTTCCTTAAAATAATGATATTATTAAACCTGAATTCCTTTTCTCTCCACACATGTTGAAATTAAAAAGCACCATCAGAGTCGGTTCTATTGACTCGTCCCAGGACAGTGATGTTTCCTATTAGTCCCGGGACTCTCCATGGTACAGAAAACACAGCCTGCCAGCATGGGGCCATCCACACAAGTCATGACCCCCTGAATAGGAACATGAACCAAGAATTAAGACTGTGCCAATAAAGTATTTCAATATCTGGTCAAAAAAGTAGGCTAACAGTGATCATCATATTCTATTACAAAGCAATGCTCTTCATGTAGGCTATATTCTAGAATTCTCAGGCTGTAATATTAATAAAATGTGAGAGCAAGAGCACTTCTTACATATTTCTACTGAACACAGCAACCCTCTCTGCTTATAGCCCAAATGTCATTCTATGGTGAACTTCCCAGAACAAAAATATTATTAAAGACATAAATGTCAATCTCCATGTTATATATGCTATTTATATTTTATTCATTCACTGATTCACTCATTCCTTATGAGTACTTGGGATCTAAAGATAAACAGCTGACTGCAATCTCTGATTTTATAAAAATTGTAATCTAGTACAGAAATGAATGTGTTATTTCAAAAGTTTACATGCTTTAATGTAGCAATGCCTTGAAAATCAAAAACACTGACAAGACACCATGTCTGCCCATTCTTCACTCCTTTACCTTCTCAGATTACGATTCATGATCAACATGACACATTTTCCCCTACTTATTTTATATGTCGTATCCATTACCTACAGAGCCATTTTAGTGCATCTCCTTTATGTCTTTGGTATAAAGCTATTATAATATTTAATGTACATTATATTTATTTCATAATATGTTATGTTCTCTCATATTTTTTCGCTCTAATATTCTTTTATTTATTTATTTTTTGGTAGCTATTTCTGCCTTAGGGCATGTGTACTCACCAGAGAGATAGACAATGAGAGACAAAGTATGAAATCACCCCCTAGGAGGGATGGCCACACCACAATCCCTTCTCCTCCATTCTCCTCCCAGGATCCTGGGCATGCATGCACACATGCCCAGCTTTAGTTTCAAGCCACTGGGTCCAGGAACTGGCCAAGTGGGAGTCCAGTGGCATAACCACTACTCCATCTGCTGGTCCCACCCTCTAATTTTCTTTTAACTCCCAAGTGAGTTTAATTATTATAGTTCCCTTTACTCCAATCCCATGCTATTACAAATTATTTCTGGGCCCAGCAGGTGACTTAATGATTACAGTGCTGGATTCCCAAATAGCTGATCAAAGTTCCAGTCCGGGACCTGGTAGCTTGAAAATGACACTGGGGGCATGTGGTTGCATGCCAAAAATCCCAAAATCCGAAGAGGAGAATGGAGAAGAAGGGATTATGGGGTGACCAACCCTTTGGGGGGTGATTTCTCACTTTCCCCTCTCACTGTCTCTCTTTGCCTCTCTCTACCGAGTGTACACACCCTAAGGCAAAAACCTTAAAAGAAGAAAGAAAGAAAGAAAGAAAGAAAGAAAGAAAGAAAGAAAGAAAGAAAGAAAGAAAGAAAGAAAGAAAGAAAAAGAAAATATTTACTTGTTCTGAAATCAGGCATTATACTTTACGGCCCCCACAGAAAGTATTCTAAGATTCATAGCTTGACCTGAGTTAAAGAGAAAGCAAAGTGAACCTGAAAGTATAACTGGGTCATGCTACAGTTGGCAGATGGTCTGATTAAATTGTAATTATCTGGAAGGAACTGTGTTTCCAAATTAGACTTTATTTCATTCACTTTTTCCTTTCTGTAGTCTAGCTGAAATCATGGCTAGCTATACAGACTCATAAAATCTGTTCCTCTTAAAAAGTGTGGGTGTACAAATAGATGACCCAAGTTTGAGAGAAAAATATTAAAGGGGGACAGACATTGTGGCACAGGGGAAAAACACAATGCTCTGAGAGCCTGGTTCCAGCTTTGTGTCTGGAGACCTCCCTGAGTACTGTAGGCACATGTACACCCATGTTCAAGGGCTGTTTGAGGCCGGGGTGGACTGAGATGTCACGACCCTGTCAGAGAGGAAGTCATCTCTCTCTGTCTCTTTTGCTCATGAAAGAAAGAAAGAAAGAAAACTTTTTAAAATGTTAGAATAAGTTTTAAGAAAATAAACTGAAAGAGCAAGGATATAAACCTGTGGCAACAGTAAGATATGGACCATAAGATAACAGTTATGCAAATATAGGTGGATAATACTAGACTTGGACTAAGGATTAATCAGTTTATTTTTAATACTCAAAACTATCATTTTCTCCCACCCACTGAAAATAGACAGGATTAGTTTCATATTACAGTTTCTGGTCCTTCTTGGCTTTGATGAGGCTTTGTTTCTATTAGAATTTATACATGAGGTAAAGAGCACATTGACTGTTGTATGTTTTTGTGAGGTTTCAGAGCCTGGTAACTGTGGGCTAATTAGGATTTACCAAGATCCGTAAAATGGTGATACTAATCTCTAACATAAAAGGTGTTGTGATATTAAATGGTATTAATATTAATGATATTAATATAGATGATGATTGGTGAGTATCTAGAAATAGGTGCTCATTAAATGGATGTAATTGTCTTTCAGAATGTCTAAGGTAAATTGTGACTCTAGTGGCAAAGAAAAGGAGAGAAAGCAACCTAAAACCATTTTTACTGGATAATTTAATGGCCTGTTACTCCAAAGCTCCAGCTCTATTATGCCACTTGCTGAGCTTTTCAAATAAATTAACACTCTTACAAGACAATTCGTGTTATTTTTACTTTTAGCAAACACTTTTAGCCTTACTTTGCATTCACAAATTTTAAACTATTAAGATCAAAAAACAAAAATTTAAAAATTAAGCAAAAATAATAATTCATAAAATCTGTTACATCCCTTTTTGCTGTTTTTCTTGAATCTAAGTGGATGGGTGGCTGAATGCCCTTATTCACTTAACAAAGATGAATTCTGCTCAAAGTACTCTCCAGTCATTTCTGGCACCAGGTACTAGGCATATAACTAAAAATTAAGACTGCTCCTCGCCGCACAGAGCCCAGGACCAGCCATAGCCTGGTAAGAGTACAGAATTAAGATGAGCAAAGATTGGAAACCAAACCAAGTAGTTGCTTCATGACTGTAACACACCCCGCGTGTGCAAGGCGGCCTGCCCCGGCTCTGGAGCCAGCGTGGCCCCACCAGGTCCAACCTGTTGGGCTTCGCAGCAGCAGGCTTTCTGAAGCCAGGCCTTGCTGGGACAGTTCATAACAGGGCTGCGAGCAAGGGAGGGGGTTGAACTCCGAGGACAGGAAGGGACGGAGGCAAAGTTTCATAATGCAGGAGTAACTTGCAGAATTAGAGCGGAAAGAAAGGCGCAGGACGACACTGCGACCACACAGGCCGGCCTAACCCGCCTCTGTGGGAACTCAGGGCTGCGGGCCTTTGTACCCCTGCTCTGTCCTGGATCCTCGCCTCTCCGCGGCGGCACTCACCCAGCGTCCCCTCCAGGACGTCCTGCTGTTCGTTCCAGTACTTGGCGTCCCGCCGCCCCAGCTCCGTCACCGCCCGGTACTCCCACAGGTCGCTGTCGAAGCCCGCGAACTCCTCCAGGTTGTAGATGTATCTGGTCACAAGCCGCACCCGCTGCGTCCCGTTGGTGAAGTAGCACTGAAACTTAAACTGGAACACGAAGTCCTCTGCGGGGACACCGCGGTCAGCCTGGCCTCCCCCCCCTCGCCCGGCAGCCCCGCCCCAGCCGCTCTCCGCCGCCAGCCCTTCAGGGAGGTGACCCTGAAACCTGGTCTCGGATCATCCGGATTCTGGCCCCACGCAGCCCTTTGTCCCTTTAACCCCGGATCCTCCCAGCGACTCTCGCCAAGCCCCTTACCCCCTCAGAACGTCCTCGTCACAGGGAGGGGAGGGAGGGAGGACCAGAGGCTGAGAGTCCTGCTCCCTGCCCGGCCTGTGAGCTGCGCTGGATTTGGACTTAGTGGGTTCAGGATGTTCTCATTTGAATGAAGCCTCATTTCCCATGAACTCCTGGGAACCTCAGACAAGCATCCACATAAGTACAGCAGTTCAGGAGAACAGAGCGAAAGGCCAGAGTTAGAGACATTAAACGTGTCCTTGTCCCGCGGGAAGATGGCGGCCGGGTTCAAAACCGGGGAAGCTCTGGAGTATTACAGGAGATTTCTGTTAGGAGGAGAACTGCCGTCCAAAAGGAAGAGAACTTGGTGAATTCAGAACCACAACTGTCAACATTAGGTTCAGTTAGTACTGCACATGGTTCTGCATTAGGGAAGCTGGGAAATACTACAGTAATTTGTGCAGTTAAAGCGGCATTTGCAGCACCACCAACAGATCCCCCTGATAAAGGATATATTGTTCCTAACATGGATCTACCACCCCTGTGTTTATCGAGATTTAGGTCAGGCCCTCCTGGAGAAGAGGCCCTAGTGGCTAGCCAGTTCATTGCGGATGTCATTGAAAATTCACAGATAATTCAGAAAGAGGACTTAAGCATTTCTCCAGGAAAGCTTGCTTGGGTTCTGCGCTGTGATCTCATTTGCCTCGACTATGAGGGAAACATTTTGGATGCTTGCACATTTGCTTTGTTAGCAGCTTTAAAAAATGTACAGTTACCTGAAGTTACTATAAATGAAGAAACTGAACGAGCAGAAGTTAATTTGAAGAAGAAAAGTTATTTGAATATTAGAACTCATCCAGTTGCAACATCCTTTGCTGTGTTTGATGACACTTTACTGCTAGTTGACCCTACTGGAGAGGAAGAACACCTGACAACGGGAACCATGACGGTAATAATGGATGAGGAAGGCAGGCTCTGCTGTCTTCACACACCAGGGGGAAGTGGGCTGACGCGAGCTGAACTTCAGGACTGTATGAGTCCAGCAGTTACAAGACACAAAGAAGTAAAAAAACTGATGGATGAAGTAATTAAGAGTATGAAACCCAAATAAACAGCCACAACTTTTTCAAAACAGATTTGTAAAAATTGTATTTCTTACACTGTGCATCAACCTTTTATACTAAATAAATATCAAACTACATTCTTCTGAGGAAAAAAAAAAAAAACTTGCCTTTGTCCTGGCAAGTAAATTCTCTCGGACCCTGAACAAGTGACTTCCTTCCCTCCTGCTTTGTCTTAGTTTATTCTGGGATTCTGCCACCCCTGCGCCCAACTATAGTGTGAGGCTTCCTCACTCCTGAGTGATGAAAGGAGTGAGGGAAGTCCTAGGAAGAAACATCTTATTCATGGCAAGAGCACAGACTTTCAAGTTAGATAAATTAAATTCTAATTAAACTGTTTCAATTACCACATTGGACAGATTATTTAACTGAATGTCTGTATCACACCTATAATTGTGTAAAAAGAAAGTCATAATACCTACACATTAAGGGTGTTGAGAAGATTGAGGGGCTCTACCTAGACATCTAATCCTGTCTCCAAAATGAACAGTTTCTCATTATGTATTGTTCCTTTCTTTATATCCTTTCTCCTGTGTTTAGTCCCCGACAATCAAATCTGAACCTCACTCAAATCATTTATCCATTAGTCTGTGAAACCCAAAGTTAAGACTCTGCGTCTGTGGTCACCAGACCACAGGACTAACAAATATTGAGAGTTCTCCATGAATCCTCCACCTAGAATCAAGACTGTGAAGTCTTTTTCCTCAATGCTGTGACTGCAGAGACCATTTTTGCCCTGTATTTCCCCAGCCCAGAATCCCGTATTTAGTCTATACAAGGCCTTAGGGGGCCCTGAAATAGCAAATCTATGTCTTCAGAGAAATTCATATCTTCAGGAATGTCCTGCCACTGATAGTAGATACATACTTTGTCTCTTTCTTCCTCATTGTAACCTCCCTGGGCTTAAGCCCATGGAAGGCTATGCTCATTTTACGAGTAGGAGGACATGAGACTGTAACATACTCCTCTTTCCAGAGCAGAAGAAATGCGTGATAAAAGGCTGTAATATGGGGACCAGCAGATGGTGTAATGGTTACTTTGCTAGACCCCCACATGACTGACCTCATTTCACATTCCAGACCTGGTAGTTTGAAACTCACGCAGGGCGCATGTGCATGCCCAAAATCCCGAGAGGAGAATGGAGGAGAAGGGACTGTGGCATGGCTATCTCGCCTGAGGGGCGATTTCTAGCTTGCTCTCTCTCACTCTCTCTCTCGCTCTCTCTCTCTCTCTCTCTCTCTCTCTCTCTCTCTCTCTCACATGCACCCTGTAGCAAAACTCTCTCTCAAAAAGAAGACTGTATTGTGGAGTCTGAGGTCCCCTTCCCCATGCCCCAATCAAGAGACAGGCTGTTCCCCGAGTGGTGGCTCTGGAGAGCAGCTGCCCTGCACTTACGAGGAGAGTCTCTGCCCTCAGCTGGCCGGGTGCTCAGCACCATCAGCATCACTGTCACAGCTGCTGTCCAAAGGCCTCTGGAGAGCTGCTGAGCCATCTTCCAAGACATACCTGACAGCACAGGAAAAAGTAATTACAGTCAACACAGCTCTTATGGATCTGATATGCCCACCTCAGAGAATAAAAACCTGAGAAAGCTTCCATGCATGTTGGGATTGGGGAGTCCCTAGAGAAGGAACCAATCACCACTAGAGTTGAAGAACATCATCTGTCCCCGGGCAGACATTGTTTATGAAGGTTCTCAATTCAACACCTGACACTATTTTCATCAAATTGAACTGATGAACATTTGATGCTTGCCTAGATCAAATTATAGAAGACACCTGTCCGAATCTGAAGGTTGAATGTGTTAGGTGTCAAAAGAAAAGTGATTCAAGGAGAGATATCTTCATAATAGTTATTTTATTATTATTATTATTATTGTGTTGTAAAGATTTTTGCTATAGGGCATGTGCACTCACTGGAAAGCAGAGAGGAAGTGAGAAATCACCTCTCATGGGGGATGGCCATGCCTCAGTCCCCTCTCCTCCATTCTCCTCTTGGGATTTGGGGCACACGTGCGCCCAGAATGAATTTCAAGTCACTGGGTCCAGGACTTGAATCATGGTCAACTACATGGGAGTCCAGCGATATAACCATTACACAATCTGCTGGTCCCCATGATAGTTATTTAAAACCTATTGTTTGAGGCCAGAAGGTGGTATGATGATGAAAGAATGGACCACAGTTCAAAGCCCTGGATCCAGCACCTTTTCACACACCAGCTGTGTTTATGTGCGTGCCCAAAATCCAGGGAGGAGAAGGGATTGTGATGTGGCCATCTCCTCCTCCCAGAAGGAGGATGTAATTTCTCACTTTCCTTCTCTTTGTCTCTCTCCATTGAGTGTACATGCCCAATGGCAAAAACCTGAAGGGGGAAAAAAAGAAGAAAACAAAAAAACTATTGTTCTAAGACTTAGGATTTTTAGTAGGGGAAATAAATGGAAATCATAATTTAGGAGAAAGAAAATTGTCACAGAGATGTTCATTTCTGTTAGACACTGAGGAGCCTTAGTGAGAAGAGAAGAGAAGAGTTCTTAGACAGACATGGTTTGAGCTACAGTTCTACCACTAACATGCTTTATTAAAGCCAACAAATTATGAACATAGTTTGCTGCAGGCTTCCCTTTACAAAAAACAGATAATGAGTGTTTCATGCATTTTTATACATACAAACTTAAGAGTAATACGCATTGTTTGACATTGCAAAACTTTTTTTTTTACTTGTCATGTATTTCTATTGGATGTATCAGTTAAAGTGTGAAGGAGAAAAATAAGTTTAAAAAAAAAAGTGACATCTAGCCCTGCTGGCAAAGGATATTTCATTATACAAAAAGCTATCACATTAAGGTTAAGTATTTGAAATTCAGCTGCTTTAATTCTCCCTGAACCATGAAACAGGTCCATCTAGTGTCAGAAAGACACAATGCACAAACTTTCACAGCATTTGGACATGTTACCCAGTTTTGAGGACAGAGAACACAAAACATAGAGGAGCATTTCCTGAAGCCTGGGCAGTACCAGGGAGGGAGCAGATGTTCAGAGTTATAGATCGTACTGGGCCAGCCCTAAACAGCAAATCTCGAATGGCAGAAGTGTCGATGTGATCTTTTTTTTTTTTGGAGAGGTTTTTGCTATAGGGCATGTGCACTCGCCAGACACAGAGAGAGACAAAGAGAAAGCGAGAAATTACCCCCCAGGGGGATGGCCACGCCACAATCCCTTCTCCTCCACTCTCCTCTCAGGATCTTGGGCACGCATGCACACACACCCGGCGTGAGTTTAAGCCACTGAGTCAGGACTCGAACCGTGGTCGACTACGTGGGAGTCCAGCGACATAGCCATTACACTAACAGCTGGTCCCTCAATGTGATCTTTTAATAAACTTTTCATTTGTAAAGCTCCTCTTGTGCATGTCTAAAGGCATTACCAAAAGATTTTAACACAATTAGGACAATGTCTGCCAAGCATTCATCAACAATCAGCAATTTATCCTAAACAAGACAGTAATTATCTTCCTCCTCTTGTCATCCTCCTTCTGTTGTCTGTGTATTTAGTTTTTCATTTTAAAATAGAAGACAAGATGTAAAAGCAGAACTTAGTTTACCAGATAAAAAGAAATAGGGAAGAGGCAGAAACAAGAATTTCCATTACCAGCACACGAATGAGCTATGCCAATATTCGGCTTTAGTTACACCAACTGTTCAGCCTAGTTCTAGAGCAGTTGACTGGGAAAATTATTGCTGGGCTTCCACCTGCAGCAGTGCACTCAGGATCAGGGTAAACCCAGCAAAAGAAGGGTCTCCACTAGAGTAATAGAAGTGAAACAGAGGAACATCAAATGATCTGGAATGGGGTTGGTGTACAAACAAGAATGATCAGTGAAGGAACTTGAAGGTGCTTTCAGTGCCATCAGCCCCCACCGTAGGGCCCCTCAGAATTAACAGAAGCCTCTGGCCTATTCCATCCCTCTTGTCCTAAGGGAGCAAGTTCTCTCTGATTTATTCTGAGACTAAGGAAGGGCAGGCTACAAAGTGGCATCAGACCCAGGGATTTCCCAGTTTTATACAGCTGTTCACATAGACTTTTCAACTAGCAACAAGTGTCAGCTTAGAACCCTTTTATCTGATTGGTTAAAATCTCACCCAAAAGGCTCTGTCTATGGCTTCTGCTAACTGCTTTCCCCTGCCCTGGCTTTTTCTAGAGTTCTCTGCACTGCCCATGTCCCTGCTGCATTACTCAGGGTAGCGTAGGAATAGGAGGTCATAGAGATTTGTTGGATTAATTAATAAATAATTTTCAAGATGAGAAGGATGGGGCTTGGTGGTTTAATGACAGGGCTGAAAGACAGCACTGTGGGGCTGCTTCTCAGAGGAGGCGATGGCTCTAAGAAGTAAGGCAGTCTATGAGAAATAAAATTCACATGTCCCCTTCAAAAAGTGTGTAATTTCAATTTTTGTTTCTTGTATTTCATTGTGATATGTGAACCCTACACGTGAGCCTAAAAATTTCAGTGAGTGATGCTTCACGTTTCATTGTGATATGTGAACCCTACACGTGAGCTTGAAAATTTCAATGAGTGATGCTTCACACAAGCAGACTTATATTTGTGGTTTATGAAGGTGGATGAGAAAGGAAATCAGAAAGAGAATGTATTCCATAATCATGTACACCAAGTAATAGGTCACAGATTCAGACATTAACTAGTAAGGTTTTGTAACAAAACACGAATTTAAAATGGTTCATCTATTAAGGACATTTGTTATGTTTTGTAATAGAAAGTATAAAAACAGGACAGTATTTACGATTGATTGAGTCCATCTTTATCCATGTCAACACAGACCTAATTCTTTTTTTTTTTAGAGAAGTTTTTGCTATAGTGTCTGCATGGTTGTCAGAGAGACAGAGAGAGGCAGAGAGATAGAAAGTGAGAAATCACCCTCCAGGGGGATGGCCATGCCACCATCCCTTCTCCTGCATTCTCCTCTTGGAATTTTGGGCATGCTCGCATGCACACGCAGCATGAGACTTAAGCCACCGGGTCCAGGATTAGAACTAGGGTTGACTATGTGGAAGTCTAGCATCATAACTGTTGGATCATCTGCTGGTGCCCAGACTTATTTTTTTTTTCTATAGGGCACACATGCTCACCAGAGAGAGAAAGAGAGAGGGGAAGTGATAAATCAGTCTCCACAGGGAATGGCCATGCAGTTTCTTCTCCATTCCTCTCAGGATTTTGGACATGTATATGCACATGCCAGCACGTTTCTCAAGCTGCTGATTACAGAACTTGAACTGCACAGTCAGCCATATGGGATCTAACTGCCTTCACCACCATATCACCCCAGACCTAATTATTTCTGACTCTCTGTACTTTTGTCAACAGCTTTTACTCTCCATGTGGTCAGAAGAAATATACTGGTTATTTTGAGTTTCCCTGACCAGGTTCATTCTTTGTCCCCACCGACCTTGCTCTGTGCCCTGGAGACTGAACTAAGGCTTGCATAGCGTAGTCAGACTGTCAGCTGGCTTCCAGGTGGTTTCAGCCGGAGGTGGCACCAGCAGGAGGCCAGAAAGTTGGAGGAGAGCAGTAGTTTTTCTTCTCTGCTTCGGTGCACAATTGTTCCGGCAGGGGCCAGTCCTAACACACCTATAGTTCCCCTTCTTCAGGGTTCTCTCTCCTGTTAATCTCCAGGAATCTCAAAATCCCTTAACTCACATCTCCACCTTATTTATACCTCCATAAATGTCCAATAGTTAATATAGATTCATTCTGAATTATCTAGATGGAACTCTGTTTTCCAGTGGGCTCCTGATTGATATGAGCAGGCTTCTGTAAGGATGTGGAACATGCTGCCTTGTTCACAGCACTGTTTAGGGAGGCACTGGTTTTACTTTGTGGGAAGTCTTAAGACTCAAAGCCTGTCACCGGACAGAAGTGTATATGGCCTGTCCAACCCTGAACACAAGAGATGAGATTATTGGAGATTTTGAAGCATTTTCCCCTACAACCATCAGAACACAGAACATACATGAATGTGTTAGAATTAAGAATTTGGATATAAATTTACCATAAAAATAAAAATATCTTAGGATTTTTAGAATATTTTTGAGTACGAGTTTTGTACTTCCACAGGTAGTGACACTTAAAGAGTGTTGGGTTTGGGGGGCCAGCAGGTGGCATGGTGATTAAGGCACTTGGCACTCCCACATGGCCAACCATGGTTCAAGTCCTGAACCTGACCTGGTGGCTTGCTTTCTCACTTTCCTTCTCTTTCTCTCTCTCTCTCTGTCTCTCTTTGGTCAAATTAAAATAAATGAATGAATAAGTAAAATTAAATAATTATTTTTAAGAAGAGTGTTGATGTTTAGTTGGTATCTGGGTGAGACAAATTTGTTTACAATTTTTAATTTATTCATTTACTTTTTTTCAATACTTTTGCAATCATACTCCGAGTCATAACTTTCATGTAGCGTGTAATCTAGTCGAGACAGAGATAATTTCAATGAACTCCAAGCAGAAGAATCATAGAGAACCACACTGAAAAACATCATGAGAAAATTGCTGCGGAAAAAATGTTAAAGAGAAAACATTAAA